CTTCAATGGGTCTTTCAATGGGTCGTGAGCCGACTCTTGGCATTTTACATAAATAAATAGTATAAATACATGAGTAATAGTTGCTCCGCCCAACCACTAATTATTCCAGAATTGTGTCGGACGCCTTCCGCTATAATCAACATGAGACATTCGCCTTTCTACTGGAGCATATGGACGGCGATCAGCTGAGAAATGCCAGGTAAAACAATAGAAAGAGGAAGCATTTCGCATTAGTCAGTCTCTTTTGGGATATGCCACGCATTCTACTCCCGTTCAATATCAGAGATTACTGACGAGATTGCGTGAATGCGATCTTTCCGATCTAATGATTTGGGTTGCTTAGCCGATCTACTAATCAGTGGCTTTCGTCTTCCCAGGCAAAAGATGCCAAATAACCAACTTTTTGGAAGGATCGTATGTTCATTTGGCCATGACGGCGTACGGCTCAGGATTTGATCCCCGAACCGCGGCGGGGTAAGTGGCGCTACACGGTACTAACTACTTCCGTCCAAAATGCCACTACGAATGTAAATACCAGCCAGATATTTTTAATTAATGCAGTCTAGTGAACCTTAGGTGCTGCACTGTAGTTGTGCCACGGACTAGGTTCTCCCTGAAGCGCATGAGGCCTTTCATCCGTCCAGAGTGCTTCAAATCGTACTGGGCTTCCAGATGATGACAAAAATACAAAATTGTATCAAGGGTGGATTCCACTAGTCAGTGTACAGGACCAGTACAAATGTAACTGCGATTCCGAATAGATGTAGAATGCGTGGCGCATTCCGAAAAAAGCCTAGCGACTAAAGCTTCATCTTTCCTGCTTTTCCTACATCTTTAGATGCTCTCACAGTTAGCAATCTTCTTATTGTTCTTCAGAGAAGTCATTGATCGAATCCAAGGCCGGCGTGACAATATGGACGGTGAACGGCTGCGACGTGCACTCATCCATCGACAGGCAACCATTGACTAATAAGTTATAGTGAATGGACTGTACTTTGGGGCTCCAGCGCCCTGCTTCTCGTCTGTTCATAGCCTCAACCCGTGATAATCACTTCAAATCCTTGATTCTTGTACAGAGTTAGGCTTGGCTCAGATCTCTAACAAATACATATGTCACGGGTCTTTGTTATAATCAACGTAGTAATCCTCTAGCCATTTGTATTTATTTGAGCCGATTTCTGGTCATTTATTTTGTTTTTTTGGTCTTCAGCAATGCTTGCGCCCTATAAAACCGAGTGAATTACGATTGTAAATATTCAAGAAAATAAATGTTTATTTACAACGACTTCTTTTTGAATGTAATTTGGTTTCGGTTTTTGATGTTGACAATAAATGCAATTGATCCATCGCCTTATTTCAGTGGTGACTTCATCGGAGCTCTTGCCTGAAATGTCGCAGCTTCAGTATGTAGAATTAGCTAAGCTTTCTTGGCTGAGCGAAATGATACAGGAAAATATAGGTGTCGTGACGGGGGCACTAAATCTCGTAATGGAGGCATAAAGGGGTAGCGCTGCAAAAATGGAAGTTTTGACTCGCGTCTAACTGTTGCGGACTCCTACTTTGTTATGAATGGATGTTTTTGAGCTCTTGAAGTTACACCAGTTTGGCTATGCTCGCTACCGCTGAGCCGCACACTATGGATTTCGTGACTCGTAAGTTCTAGCGGTCCCCTTATTCGGATTCTTATCAGGCTGTTTATCACCTTCTGTCCCCCCCCCAGATTCATGTCCCTCCTGCTCTATTATCATACCTTGGCAAAATTTACTCCGAACGACTGCTATCGTGCTCTATGAAATTCGTAACACACACACATGACATTACAAACTGACAGACATAGCGTTTTATAGGTAGTAAGGATTATTTGTTGGTGAACTGTCGGCAGTAACACCGTCATCAGACCAACCTTACTTTTCAATGATTGTGAACAGCTATGTACATTACGAGAACCCGAAACATCGACGCATACTAGAAAAAGGGAAGAGTGGATGGACCTATTCAAGGGCAGGTGAGAAGTAAAAAATGAAATGTCATCCTCGAGGCTAAGGACTTTGCTGATCACGCAACAAGCCTCAAAAGGTCGCGCAGTTTCTCCTTTGCTTTATGCGATGTCATATTTCCTGCGCCTCCTTGATTCTCCTTGCCAGCGGCCGCACCAATGTTGTCAAAAACGACAAGTTCCTTCCACTTGCTTATCCAGTATTTGATCGCTGTCGACTTTTATTCGTGTTTTTCGTATAGGGTGGAGGGGATGGTGATGGAATCATTGCCGAAAGCTTACCACTAAATTATTTAATCACGAGAGCTTCAAGAACACTCAGCAGTACAACATCAAAGAAGCTTCTTAGGAGATAGCAGCATTTTATTGAAGGCAAACCCCGGATTAGCCTGACTAGTAGGAAGGATACAGCGAGCGGAATTGTAAGGTCCGTTCCTACCTAGATCACTCCAGCTTCGTAGATAAGGCGTATTCCTTACAGGCGTGCAAACCATCGACCAATTTCCAAAGCTCCTCACCCACCGCGAGAGGATGATGAATCAGCGTGCTCTTTCAAACGACGTGCTCTCTCGCGTATTTTGTCTTCTTTGACCGCCCTTTCTCGACATCGTACCACATCCGACCCTGTTAAAAGGTAAGACCTTAGTTTCAGCGTTCGTAAGATTTCTCTTGCTTTCCTTCTCCACTTTCAGGTCTTTCCGTAGCTTAGCTGTCGATATGTAGAGCTCATGGCACCAGTCTAATCCCGGGTTGCCTTTAATGGTTTCTAATTGTTTAACTTTTATGCTATGTTCCTTGTTTTGGCGTCTACCCAACCCTGCTTGAAAATTGTTGCTGCTAGCACTTTTAAAATCAGCAGCACGAATTAGCGCTAGTGTAGTTGTGCTGAAGGAAGGTAGAAGGCAGTGACAAGTAGCCCATCTATCTCAGCACCACGCTTTTACCTTCAGCTTGTGCTGATTTGTACTGCGCATTTGGAGTGTATCACACTCATTGCGTCATTGGTCACTTGGCCACTGTATGCCCCTTCCTAGGTACGCTTTTTATGACCCCTAACGGTGCTGGATGAAAACCCAGTACATGGCGCATTACAAAATACTCGTACCTATGACGATTGAGTTGACATGATTATCATTGAAAATCGAATGTGAACTGCTATACCGGCAGTGTTTGATCGGATGAGGGCATGGTTCCTTGAATGGTCTCTTGAGAGGCTCTAGATTCTTTAGATTCCTTAGGTTCTTTGAACGACTTCTTTTCTGATTGGCCCACTTTTTGCTGGAGAAAAAGAAAGTTAAGTTGTAGTGTTTGTATCAGCGATAATGGCGGCACAGTTGGAATTTCTTACTTTCGTCTTCGATGCTTTTCGTTGGACGTCATCACACGTGAAGTCGAGTTTTCTCTTCATTTCTCGTGTAATTGCTATCTCCACTATTTTGTTTTCCGTGTCATCTCTGCGATAAGGTTTTAAAAACTCATCTCAGCTTATTGAAATGTGACAAGCTATTGAAGAAGTGGGTAGGGGCTAAGGTAGTCGACAAGTGCCATTACTGCGCAAAAGGTGGCGTAGAAATGACATCCTTGGCCTCGTAACCTGCCATCTCAATCCCTGATAGTGCGTTCTACAGCTGAGTGACCAGCGTTGGTTTCTTCGCGCCGTTCTGGACTTAGCGGCAAGAGGAACAGAACTTGAAGGACGCCGTTGGCCTTTCTGAGCACAGGAGCAGCTTGTTCTTATTTGAGCTTTCCACGAGGAATTCGACCGGTTGAAGTTAGATATCCCATGCCCCCAGGACTAAGGACTAACCTAGGTTCAGAAATGGGACGCATGGAGAAATTGTTAAAACCTGTTTGTGAAGTTTGTTGATCAACGAAACCTCAGTATTGCGGGTGAGTATGGAAGACTCACTCAACATCTTTGATGTCTTGTGGCGTTACTATAGTCGAAATCAGCTGTCCATTGGATCGCTTGGCTCCCGGTCTGCATAATCAAGTCGTTAAAGGAACCCTTTGAATACAAGAGGACAACGCTAAAACTAACTTGAGGATTGAAGCGAATGCGGGATGCGTCAATAGTTGGCGACCATACAGACGGTTACACGGGCGGTACACAAGAACTTTTGCCAAAACTTCGAGCATTCCTGGGTCAGCGTCCTGGGCACAGCTGAAATAAATTCTAACAAAAGTCAGGTCTTAGGATCTTATCAGCCTGGATTGAATTTATCTCACGATTAAAGTCCCAATACAAACAGAGTGTAAACCGCAGCACTCGCAACTATATTAGGGAGTTGGATGTGTTTTTGCAATTTCAGCGTGGGCTCGTTTTTGGGTTCCCGTCAATCACACTTTGGAAGGATGTGAGTCCTCTCTGGGCCCCCCTTACCAAAGGCTGATGGAGAGGTGGTGGGGGGAGTTTGAAGGAGGAAGGGATTGCAAAACTTGGACAGCGCAAACGACCGGTTGACCTGAGTCGAAGCGAGTTGGAAGACTTACCGTACCCAGTCCAGTACCAACCACAACGCGACCGTTGGACACTATTCGTGTTGGAACCTTCATAAGTTTAACGTCTTCTTCCGTTGGACTGCCAAGACACAAGAAAATTAACTTTAACTGATGTTTGTAATGTCGTCCAGGAAAAAGTACGCTGCCACGTAACATCTCTCCGAGGACGCAACCAGCCGACCATAAATCTGAATTCGTTTTCTACTGTTCTATCATATAGTACCTCATTTGGAAAATGATATGATTTTTCAAAATGTTGGCCAGCCACGTGGGTAGCCATTTAAAGGCAAACCCCGGGATTAGCCCGACTAGTAGGAAGGATACCGCGAGGGAAATTGTAAGACCCGTACCTACCTAGATCACTTCAACTTGGTCGCGAAATCGCGCGGTTAGGGCGCTAATCCTTACGGGCCTCCAACCATCGAACGCTTCCCACCCACCGCGAGATGTGGTGAGATCAGCGTGCATTGATGTAGAGATCAGCGTGCTCTCTCAAACGACGTTCTCTCTCGCGTGTTTTGACCTCTCTGATCGCCCTGTCTTGCCGTCGTACCACATCCGACCTTTTTGAAGGTTAAGGCCTTAAGTTCAGCGTTCCCAAAGAGTTCTCTCGCTTCCCTCTCCACTTTGGGTCGCTCCGCAGCTAAGCTATCACTGCGAAGCGCTCTTAGCACCAGTTTAATTCCGGAGTTTGCCTTTAGTGGAAAGGATTACACGAGTCTGATTCAGTTAAAAATTCAATTAGTTATCAATAATTGAACTTAAGTTGAATTTAAGCTTCGATAATTAAAGATGATGTCGGTTTTCTAGTTTCTTCGTTCAGGTACATTGAGTTACTCTCCTTAATGTGCCTCCACTTCTCAGATAGAACAAGTGATGACTATGATCGGGATTAAGTGCAACCATGCGGTCCGTAACCGCCGGACTCCTCAATCCCTACCTTCACTGGTGTGCTGTAGGCCAGCTTCAATAGGAAGATGCACTTACTTATTGCTTGCTGCCCTCCCTTTTACCCAGGCCACCCATCCGTCTCTATTTGATGCACTGCAGCCCTTTCACACAAGTTAGGCCTAGATCTGAACCCAAGCCTATGGCGGCTCCTACCATGACTCCCGCCATCCTTCTGCGCCCAGACCCCTAATGTATCTGACCCTCAATAGCCTTGAATCGGCATGTAAAATACAACTCAGCATAGAATTGGGGAATTCTCGCACTTATACATGTGCAGCATAAATAACTGATAGACATTCATTAAGCACAGTGTACACCAGCATTGTTGAGCTTTGCAGGCTCCCTCACTCAAAGTTGAACCCTATCAGCTGTTAGACAGATCATCAGAAGGGCTGCTCCCAGACGGAGAGCAGGCAAAGGTACTTCACCGCCTTGAGTTGACATCATTCCCTCGAAGTACTTCTGCAAACCTATTTACAGATAAGTATATGCGTACCAATGCGAACCATTAAATGACAGTATGCTAAGCATCCTAATCTTCCATAAAGATAAACAAACAAACCAACAGTCCAATTGTAATATTCTGAACCCAGCAGTAATTCAGGAGGGCGGTAAAATCTCGTAACCTGAATAGACAACGGGGATGAGCATAAAATGTTCATTCCGAACAGGTATGCCTTCTCTGTCCCAGGTTAACACAATGCAGTTTTTGGCATGAGCTTATCACCTGCGCTGTACCAAGTAGGGTGTGCAGAGTAGACGACACAGCTTACTCTGTTAAAACTGTAGCAGTGCCAATCAGTAAACGACAAGCAACTATTTCTGTGGCCCTGTGGAAGTCCCCGATGTTCTGAAGCGTTTCCGGCCTAGGGCTAGTTGACTGGGTTTTGAAAGAGGGGGTCGTATGAAAGATTTCATGAGGAAGAGGGGGTGGCGTAATACACTTTGAAGTAGCAACGATAGGAACGACCGATAGGACCGACCCTGCTTCTAGCCGTCGAGTGCTGCACAACGAAGGACAGAGACGCAGAGACGAGCTGCTTAGTTGCTGCTCGGAACAGTTTGTAGCAGTTAGCATCAAAGTCAGTTAGCCCCGTACTGTCATGTACGGGATGGCAAGGCGGTGGTATTCCACGAGTTTTGTGGCGTGAGTATTCCATTTTGATCTAGCACAAGGAGTCATCGGAAGCTAGAAGATGCTAATTATTCCCATTTCTGCGCCATTTCTTCGACTTCAAATGTTACACGACATGTGGTACTGAAAGCGAGTAGTGGTGAGCGAAGCATTTTAGGGCCAGGGCAAAAGGAGTTCCGGACCGAACGGAACCTGGGGCGGGATTGAACAATATTCCTAGAGGAGAAAGTGGTTTTGCATGTTGTGAAGACGGATTACCTTTCCCGCAGCTCCTCCCTTATCTTGGCTCATAGAAGGTCTCTCGATCCCGACTCACTGTTTGGTTCAGTTGTCCGCAATGTGTTTCACTAGAACAGCGTAGAACTCCAAGCACCAGTTATTGATGACACGCGGATGCGTGATACGAGTAACAAGCCAAAACAAATCAAATCGCAGGTGACGCGAATTATAAAAAGATGATTTAAGCTTGACGCTCAACGTGCGTGAAGTGGGTAAGACAACTTGGTAGCTCGCACTTCGCTGTCATACCATTCGCTGGGCGACATGCTGCTATTTGCGTCACACTGTCTGGTTGGACTTGCGCTGCTTTGGCCATACCCCTTTCCTCTCAGTATTACGGTCAGAAAAGGCACTGAAAAAAGAACATAGAAAAACTCATCACCTGATACGCTGTTGACTTAGTGAGCCTTCTAACGATTTTGGCTGAACCAAAGTCGCCAATTTTCAAAAGTGCTGATGTGTGATCTATTAGCACGTTTAAAGGCTTTATATCACGATGAACTATCTGATGCTGAAACAGAAGGTCAATAGGCGATGCAAGGATGTAATATGGAGGAACAGCGAGCTTACGAAGTTCCTCACTCACCATACTTAAATAGCGAAGTCCATTAAATAATTGCCAAGTATAGATTTTAATGTCCGTTTCATCGAGTTTTTCCGTCTTAATAACTGATGCAAGTGTGTCGGGTAGAAATTCAAAAACAAATGATTCACATATCTAAATTCTCATATTCACAGGTGTAATGGGGCGATCCATACCATCGAATTTTGACCACAGATGCTTAGACCAGGTTCAGACAGTGTCGTTTTCTAGCCATGAGCAATCGCTTCGAGCTTTTACAGGTCATTTGCTCCTACGAGTGTCTGCCATCTGTCGTGCTCTTAACCTGTCCTCTCTCCTGCACGCTCAGTTTTTTTTCGTCTTACCACAGTCTAATTACAAAATACAACTTTATTCAACAGCACACGAGATTGACCAGTCAAGGTTAAGCCCATCACTATCGCGTGGGAAGCCACTGACAGGATCGCATGGTCTATCTGTCGTCCACTAATCAGATTTGCTTTGAGGCCGTCGTCACATGTGGTGTGTGGTCTGCGCTCGGGACGGATCTGGTTCCCGGAAGCAGAGGGTACCTCATGCAATCAATGTTAATGAGTATGAAGAGATCGGGTCTGAAAGCACGGTTGGGCTTGTGGACATACATCCCACTAGTTTGAATCTTGGTCCAGGTCGGAACCGTCCCTTCAATCGCACATGAGGAATAACGAACTGTACGAACACGTCCCATTGGCATTGAGGGAGGCTGCGCCTTGGCAGATGTGGTCTACAAGATCGCTTGTCAATGTTGTGGTGACGAATATGTAGGCGAGACGGGTAGACCTCTTCGTATGCTGGTTAAAGAACATTTGGACGTATGTCTACTTCACGACTTTCTACTGGTTCAGGTTGCTATAAGGTGCAAACCCAAGTTGAGGATTGTTTTGGAGTCAAGGCCAT